CTACAGTCATGTTGCTTGTGGCTTTGCTCAAGATTAGTGAACAATTCGATGAGCTGTGAACATTCAGTTGATCTAGCTACTAATTGCGAATTACCATTCTGGCGCCGCACAGCAAGGAGTCCTAGGTTCAGGGCAGTTCAGGAGATTTGCCAAGAGAATCCACCAGGTGCGCTCCGTTGTTCAAGCACTGACCACTGACCACTGGACAAAACATAAGACGCAGACGCAGAGACCAAACCATACTATAGTTACTATACTACATTGCTCTACTCAGTACTTTGAGGCTCAATCCCTTCCATCTAATCTAAGGTTCATGCCTGTGCGCCGTGCGCCCGCCGCTCGCCAAGGCTGCAAGCTCTTTTGTTTGCCAAGAGGTTCTACTCCACCAGGCGCGCACCGCTATTCAAGCCGGACAAGACTCATGAACGAGACTCATGACAACCGAACAAAAGCATACGACGCACACAGCACGCACGCTGAGAGGGCTCATGCGGACATTAAGTAAGCAAGGCGACGCGTTCTAGAGTCATGTTGCTTGTGGCATTGTGACTTTGCTCAAGATTAGTGAACAATTCAATGAGCTGTGAACATTCAGTTGATCTAGCTACTAATTGCGAATTACCATTTTGGCGCACAGCAAGGAGTCCAAGGTTCAGGGCAGTTCAGGGTCTACACAATACCAGCGTTTAGAGTCTAGTCAAACAAACCAAGAGGAAACCATTTCAATTTGAACAACCTGGTTGAGTGGTTGAATGGCGTCTCGAATGAGATGGATGACACACCTCCAAAGAGCACTGCTGAGATTAAGCCTGTTGCACAATCAACGCAGCGTGGGCGTGACACTGTTTGGTGCTGGGGACGTGAATGCTCCTACAAAAAACACAATCGTAATTACACTTTGTTGGAAGTGAGGTCGGAATGTTCGGAAGGAGAGGTTCTGCTGCAAGCTCATTTGGACCCACCAGTGACTGGCACATCGAAGCATGGTGGTGACAAGCGCTTGCTGCATGGTTCCTTGCCAGTTGAAGATACCTACATCTTGAAGCGTGAGATTGCTGACGGCTTGTTCTCATTCAGCATTGACAGCACATTGGGCTTTGAACTGCCGGGTATTTGCAAACTTGCTGACATTGAGGCCGCTTTGAAATCGCGATGCATGTGGCTTGAGAATTGTCAGTTTTTCTTGGTGAGGCAG